TTCCTATTGTTTCAGAGTTCAGTCAGCCAGGAGAAAATCATCAGGCCGACGTCAGGACAGCAGGGGTTCATTGGAACCAGGTGTGCTGGAAGTTCTCTTAATTTATTGCATTCATCTCAATTGTAGTTCATAGCACATCAGGGAGCAGGTCGAGCTGTTCCAGGCGAGTGGCTTACACATGAGTCCTGAGAGGGCTGTGCATCATCCTCACTGTCACCTTAGCTGTCTTTACTTTGCACTGCAGTGTTGTTTTGGCTCTTAACCAATGATAGGTGCAGAATAAGATGAGGTGGGCTTTTCTTTGTTGTTTTTTTTTTTTTTTAATGAGGTACCTATATTTGTAATATAGGTACAAATATATATTTGTAAAAGTTGTGGGAGAATGCTGGCATTTATACTTTGCTCTTTTTCTTTCTTTATTAAATACAAAGCAACTCTTACCACACAGAGGAAGAATTCTCACTTAAATGTATCTGATGAAGGCCCTCAGAGCTCTGCTCCTTACAAGCACAAAGCTCGGAGCATCCAGAAGCCAGCTACTGAAAAAAGGGCATCAAGAGGAAGGTGAGATGTTGCACACTCGTGTGTTCTGCCCATTCTTGGAGAAATTCTTCACTGTTATTTGCTTTAGCCTTTCTGCCAGTGCTTCTCATTTGGGATCTTGTGGTTTATGTCCCTGTGATCAGACTTTGGGTCTGATCATTTCAGATTCATATCAGACTATGGGTGGAAAAGTGCTTCACTCCTGTTTATTGGCTGCTGGTCTGTACTATGAAATTGATGAAATACAGATTAACACCCCCTTAAACCAATGTGGCTTCATTTCTAGCTCAGCATCTGAATGGCGCATCTTGAGCTAGATGAAATTGATGAAATGAGTGAGTCTAATGGTGAGAGCAACAAAAGTTCTGAGAAGCCATTGAGGAGAGAGTCATCAACAATAGTTCCCATGTAATACTGGTTTTAGAGTTACATCTTCTCAATTTTTCTTTAATTTCATATCCATCACATCACCAACCAGCTTAAACAAGCAGAGAAACAAAGACTTTATAGACCAATATTTTTCTTGCCTTCTCAGCATGCAGAAATGCACCAAATCCGTTCTCAGTGACAAGAGATTCCAGATATTTGGGGAGATGCCTCCTGAATCGAAGTAAGTTGTGTGCATCTTCAGAAAGAAACCCGTCACCTCGGGGGGGTGTGATGTGTTCATGGGCTCACTGTTACATTTCCACAAATGAAATAGGAACAAACCATTTCAGAGATGATTTTTAAGTGGTTGCATTCCCCTGCTCTATTAGAACTGACTGGTTGATCTTCATACAGTGTGATTGTCTCTTTCATTATTATTTTTATTCATTTGCAGTACTTTTAAAGGGATTGTTATGAAAATCCTCTGGATGGGTAATAACAACTTGCTCTGTCTTGCTGAGGTAAGAAAAGTGTTTCTCCATCACTTTTGCTGCCATAGGTGTAACGTGTCAGCTAAATGATTTGGTTGTATCATAATGTTTGGGTGGCCATCCAAAAACTGCTTACTTCATCAGACCATCTAATTCTTAATAATCCTTGATGCAGACTGTTTTTAATGATTAAGTATTTCAGGACCTCAGAATGTGGTTTAACATATGGGGGGACACCAACACTCGCATCTGGTTTGTGTAGCAGCGTGTCTGCAAAGCCAAGGCAGCCCCAATCTTCTTCATTCTAATGAATAAGTCCCCTAATAGAACTATAATACCTATACTAACATATAACTAATATCTGAGGGCATGTTACCAAGGCTAAGAGCAGTACAGTGCTAAGAGGAGGACTGATAATGTCTTTTCAGAATTGGTAATTAAGCTGCACTGTAGTCTTGGAAACACTCCCCGTTCAAAGAGCAGATAGGAAATAGAATAAAAGCACAGCAGATACCATAACTGGTATCAAATAAGAGAGAGATTGACAGCCTTCTGTATCCCTGTTACTGCTATATGCATAGACACAACTTGTTTGTACGTGTTATCAGCATCTTTTCTGTCTTATCTTAAACTCTTGAAGGAGTTCTACGACAAAGAGAAGCATCAAACCACAATGCCTGAAGATTTGCCAGAGACATTTGAAAGTTTTGCAGAAGTAATCAAACAGACTCTGCTGTCATATCAAAGTCAGATAGATGATTACTACAATTCCTGCCTTAAAGGTAAATTAATTCAGCCAAGACTTTTAATTTCACTGAAAATTGCAACAAATCAAGAGTAAAATAGATGAGTGGAAAAACTGTTGATTTTATTGGGCCAATACCATCTTTAATGTATTACCTGCAATATAGAATGTGAGGAAAGAGCCACTGACTAAGCTGATAGACCTCTACAAGGTCAAGTTTTTTAGCAAGTGTGTTTCTGTAGTCATGGGTCTCAGGAAAAGGAATGTCAGGGACAGAATTTAGAGAGGAAATTCCTACATGTTTGACCATTGCAGTGTACGTTCACCTCAGCTTAATTTTCTTTGCTTGCCAGAATTTTGGGATCAGTTGAAGTCATTTGAAGAGGAACTCCCTTATGTCTCCCAGTTGGCAGTTGATGGTCTTTTAAAGGAACACGAACAGAAGCTCAGCTGTGCCACCAGTAATGTTGAGCACTCCTTCAATCAGCAGCTGGAGGACTGGAGGAGCGTGAAGGTATCCAGCATGGATGCGTTGGAATGCTTCCAGTCTAAGCAGTGCTGAAAGCACCAGGATTGTTCATAGTTTCAAACTCTTTAGGTTCTGTAACGTTGTATGAGTCTCGTTCGCATGCTTTTATATGAAGTGATCGGTTTTACTACTTTCTCACTATGACTCCATTGCACCTTCTTTATAGAAAATATTTCTTACGTGTTTGCCTGCAGGCTGCACGTGAGAATGAATTACATCCCTCTCTGGGACATCCAGACAACTTGCTGCAGCTGGAGGCTTTGTGCCAGCGGGAATCAAAAGAGCAAAAGGACCACGTTGATGCTGTTCACCTCCACACTCGGATGCTTCAGGTAAGCATAAAGCCCAGTGCTTAATATCAGCTTGATAGGTGTTGTATATGCAAAGGATTATATAAATTAAATCCACTTTTCTCCTGTGCCAACGGTAAAGTGGAAAATGTTTTCAGTTTTATGCAGTGCTGTTCACACAACATCTTTAAGTTGGCAGCATTTGATTGATATATGCATGAATGCATGCACGTACAAGTGCACATAACCCATGATCTGTATCGTTCATTGGATGTACTGAGGAGGGGTGGCTCATCTCTCAGTGACAGAGCAGTTGCATATGAGTTTATCTGAAGTAACAGTGGTGTTCTCTGGTTATTTTACTTGCAGAGGACAGGCCTGGAAGGCTTTCTTTCTGTGTGCGTTTCAATTAGGGCAGTTGGTATTTGTGCATACACACACATACCATTTCCAGAGCAATATCTGAAAGCCCCTCTGCTCAAAGTATGTGAATTCCATGAAGCGGCCTTTGCTTTGAAAGCTGATGTTTACAAATTTCTTTTTCTACCTATTTTGAGTGCTTAACCCAAATATACAACTACATGGCAACCACACACAGTACTCTGTAGGCTGTCATGCTTTACCTGAGGTCATTAGAGTGTTTTAGAGCACTGTGTAAGGCACTTCCAGATCCTTTTCTGTGCCATTTGCAGCCCCATGGCTGTTATCTGCAGCTGCTGCAAAGCATCATGGTTGGAGAGGAACATAGTTCTTAGGGAGCTAAACTGAAAGGAGAAGAGATTGAGTTATCAGAGGAACTCCTCTCAGTGGTATCCAATGTCCCAGCAGGACTGTGCTGCTGAGTGCACACAGAACTTCGTTTTGGCTCTGGCTGCCTTCACAGAAAAGCTGCTGCTGGAATTAGATGAAAGCGTTACTATTGATGACATACAAGCACCAAGTAAGTAATGATGGAATTTCTTGTTCACACGTGATTGCACATGCAGAACCATTTCTTGAAAGTGGTGAGCATCACGTGGAGTTCCTTGAAAGCAACAGCATGACTGCCTCTGTTTGGTTCCTCCTGAGTATATCTTACATCATCTTCCAGAAACTGAAACACCGAAGGAGAAGACATCCTTGTTAATTCCTCATAAACAAGCTGGTCTTCCTCTACAGACCCGTGGGGCTGAGCAGTTGGTCAAACGTGGGAGGAGGTAATATTGGATCATACAGGACACAGTTGTATTCTATTTCTCTTCCCTAGGCTGACATCAGGTGTTCTCCTAGTTTTGTTTTGTTTTGGTGTTTTTGCTCCAGTTGTTAAAATTGCTTGGTTGTTTTGCTTTACCACTATTTATCTCTTGCCCCTATACAAATCTGAGGAATGCTATGTGTTTTCCCTGTGAAAGTATGAATTCTGTTTATGGTGCAGAGCTCCTGGTCATTCTCTTCTTTTCCAACTGCGTCTCCTCTGGATATTTTTGTTGTTGTTGTTTATTTGTTTTGCTCCTTTAAGGACCTGGCCAGGACTACCCATGACCAAGCTTATGGGCGATTCAGACTGCATTATGGCCAGAGAAACGGCATCAGTCACAACAGCAAAGACTACACTGGGCCACACAGCAGCAGTGGAAGCAAGAGATGCTGTATATAAGGTTGACCGGTGGGAAAGGGTTCTTATGGGTTGTGTGTGAATGGGATGTCTGTTATTGCTGTAGATTTGTATAGATATGGATATATTTTAATATACAGAGCAGTTTCAGACCTTGAAGCAGTATTCTCCATGCATAAAAATCCATTCTTATGTCTGTATGCAATCATTTAGGCATTCTATGATTCTAGGATCTGATGGTTGGGTTTTTAGGAATCATACTGGATTTCTATCAGTTTTAACCTTAATTGTTGTTCTTTGTACAGAAATACATATGTAAACTTGAGCAGCAGTTAGCCCAGATCAAGGAAGAATGCACTTCTCAGCTGGTAACAATTCAGCGTTGGGGAGATTGGTGGAAGCAGTCCATCCAGAAAATTAAGCAACTGTATACGTGAGATCAGTCAAATCTTGCTTGAGTGCTTGTGTTCTACCAATAAATATCCTCTTCAACATAAAAAGAAATAAAATTCCCATGCTGCATCTTTACTGGAGTGACTGGGGGATGTAATTAGTTCATATGTGCCTTTTCAGCTGTTGTAGTTTGGCCTGGTTTCTTCAATAAAGGGGTGAAGGAATGTTTTCCCAAGATGAGAAAAACCGTGACAGTGAGCTAAAGGAAAATCTAAAGCTTTGTTTACTAAATATATTAGTTATATTAGCTACTATATTTGGTATATAGCTACTATATTTGGTAAACTAATTTTTCTGTGGGTCCCCTTGCCCTGCAGTCATGGAAACCAGGCCAAACTGTGACAATTCTGGCACATTGCCTGGGATGCAAATCCAGGCCTCATGCGTAGCAGGCAATAACTTTACCACTGAACAACCTCTACGTGATTTGGAATACTGATGAAAAACCATGAAATCATGGCATCAGCCCATTCCGTTCTAAGAAGAATTAAATCACAGCATCCCAGCAGTTAGAAAGGTCCTCTGGGGATCGAGTCCAACCCTCTAAGAACAATGTTTTCCTTGTAGTGATCATCACTTTATGAAGGCTAAAAGGAAGTTTTTATTGAATACAGGGTTGTTCTGTACTGCATGCTATGGAATTGCTGACATATTGCTGGTTGTTGTCATGGATCTTGATTCCCCTATCCGATCCAGTTTAAAGCCCTGGTGATGAGCCCAGTCAGCTTGCTGTTACATCCTTACTCCTCCCAGCCAGCCGTGGCCCATCCAATGTCAATGTGCCCATCTCTTGAAGGTGCAGCCATGCCCACGGTGCACAAACCATGAGTGTGACACCATGACAACACTTGTGCCCATGTCACTCCCAGCACAGCCCTCAGAGCTGTTGGTGGCTGTGTTGTTCCAAGTGCTGCTCTCTCTGCTGCCCATAATGGAAGAGAATGCTCCGCCTCGCACGGATGTTACGCATTGCTCTGCTCGTGAACGCTGTCATCTCTGTTGGCAGCAGAGCCATTCCCACAGCTCCTGGCACCAAGCCTGCTGCTCTCAGCTCGCATCAGAAATTCCTCTAATGATTTCCAGAAAGGCGTTGGGATCTTTAGTCTGCCTGTCTGCTGTAACCACATTGATCTGGTAAGCATTTGCTGACAAGTTTGTTAATGTTTAAACGTGAGTTCCCTGGCTGCAGCCGGAAGCGTGACAGCAGGTTGGCACAGGCAAGTGTGTTTTTTCAGGAAGTTCCTCTTCAGGTAAAAATTAGCAAAAATCACCAATCCCTTCTCCCACCCACACCTTAACGGGGCGGCTCTTCCCCACCCAGCCCTGCCTGTGCCCATTGCTCAGCAACTTAAATGGTCCCTCCTTGCTCTGCGTTGCCCACGCACACCGCTGCGATCAAAGCTGAAGGGAGAAAGAAAACCGTGCAAACTCTGTTCTGTGATTTATGTGTGGCTTGCCCAGCATCTCTGCTTCAGAACTCATCACTGTGGCACACTGCTTCTCAGTTTTGAATGTTGCCTCGCTCGTGTCTATTTGTGCATCTATTTTGAAAACACATAGAGCTCAGTTTTGTAGATCACTTGATGTAAACAATATTGAATCCTGATGTTTCAAGCTCAGTGCTTCCAGACTCCTTTTAACCTGAGCTTCCTGTTTATACCTTAGCAGCGCTGTATGCTGTTAAAGGCTGAATGCAGTGTATGCTACACTAATGAGTAAAGAAGTTGAGCAGTTAATTACTTATCACAACCAATGCCAGATTCTGAGAACATCTTGGGAAGCACCAGGAATATATTTTTCAGTGCTGCCTGTCTTAAAATACTTCTTTGCTATTGCTTACAGGGTCGCAGTTGGGAATTGGAAAGTGCACTACCTCCCATATTACCTTCCCTGCCCTGGAATCTTGTAAGTCTCCCATTTTGTATGTAATAAGTATCATAGATCACTGCTACAAGACCTGAATTTTGCTGACGGTACACCTGGTTGTTAACAACTGCTCTCTTATCTTTTATTTCATGCAATACCGAGCCTATGATTAGTGTTTCTTAAATAAAATGATGGTGATACAGCCCTGTCTGTTCAGTCTGCTTCCTCTCCTGACCAGCCCTGTGTTTGTACAGCATGAACAAAGGTCTTGAGGTCTCATTTGTTGTATCATCACAGAGTTGGGTTCGTTATCAGGGTGTGATCACACACATACACCTGTACACACATGATCTCGCTGCACTTTAGGATGTGTGCATCCCAGGCTGCTGGATGGAGCGGTGTAAGTCAGAGGAGTGGGATGAAGAGTCACACAAGGAGTTCAAATAGAGTGGTTAAAAACATTGTCTCATAGGTTACTAATTTCCCTGACTGCTGTTCTGAGTGTGGTGTATTTCAAGTAGCTCAGCCCTCCTGGGGGACAGGAACAAACATGCAGGCAATGAACACATATGTGACCAGAACTGGCAGCCCCAACAACTGCGTGCTTCGCTGGTTTTTGACCACTGCACTGCTAAAATCACAGACTCAGAGGGCTGCCATCCTCTCCCCATCCCTGTTCTCTTCTGTGCTTGGCTGTAATTTGCCTGGCAGCCCATTAAGATGTGCACAGGCAATGCCCAATTGTTTACATCTGTGCACAGCAACTGGAATGAAAACTGGGACGACTGTCCGTAAACCAGCAGGTCCTGAAGTTAAACCTGTGTCCTGTTAAAATAAAAACATCACAGAACTTTCATTCTCCCGTTATGCAGCTCCAAGGAACTCCTGTATTTGGAAGAAAAGCCAGTCCAGCTTTTCCCACAGTAAGTAATAGCTTTTTATTTCCCCTTGTTCCTCCCTTATGAGCCTATTTTGTGTATTATTCATTGGATATTTCTTCCTTTTTACAGATTATTTTATCAGCAACCAAGAGTGCTGGCTCCAAAGTAAGCTTCTTCGTTTGCTGTTTGTTTCTTGATCCTGCATGTTACAGAGCTGCTGGGTTTGGTTTGGGTGCTTTGTGGCTCTCGGACAAGGATCTGCTCTTGGGAGGAGATTGTTCTCAGAGCAGTCAGGCACTGGCACAGGCTGCCCAGGAGAACGGTGTGTTTATGTCCCCAGAGATGTTTGAAGGATGGGGGAGGTGTGACACTTGGGGACACAGCTTGGTGGGCAGTGCTGATGGTCTGTGGGTGGTTGGACTGAGTGATCTTAGAGGTTTTCCCCAACTTTAACAGTTCTGGAGCCCTCCTCACTTGTCCCATGAGGAGCTCAGCTGTGTGGGTATGCCTGCAGCTGCCCATGATGCTCTAAGATTGATCTCAGTCACTGCATATTTGCTTCTATACCAACCGTGTTTTCCTAATTAATACATCAGCACAGTCAGCCCATCTACATATTGCTGCCAGGGACTCTGAAATGAGAAATAAATCTGACTGTTTTCCGACTACTATAACTTCTGGAACTGCACTGTAGCTTTAACCAGTTGTGAGTGAGCTCTGAATCCATTTCAGGACAAAACCAAGCAGGTGCCTTGTATGACCTCCAGCAACACTTTCAGCCAACCTGCTGGATCTTACCCTGGAACAAATTACAGGCACTCCTGCAGACGCGTCTGGCTGGGAAGCAGTCAGAGCAGTGAGCTTGAACAGACAGGGAGGGTTTTGGGCAGCAGCAGCAAGACGTGCTCCTGTCAGCTTGTGTTTGTCAGTGGTCTCCTTTGGGCCAGCTCCCATGGCCTGACTCTTATCTCCAGCAGCCCTGCTTCGTCAGCTGTTGTTAATAAGCACACCCTATAGGGAGGCTTTACCTGGCTGTTGTCATGAGCTGTGCTGTGGCTGAATGTTTCATGCCTCCAAACTGGAATAAATTAATGTGCACAATCAGCCAGTGTATTTTGGAGTAAGGGAGGAGAGAGCAGCGTAGTTTTGAGTGCACTGCTTCCTAATAGGAGGTGTCTGGGTGCACTAAGTGGGTGCACACCTTCATCTTGTAATCGTGTCTGTTACCATAGGAGAGAGTTTGGTGTCTCTTTAGCTGCCATTGCCTTGGGAGCATGACAGGTGGGAGACTGCTCTGGCCTCAAAATGTGACCCTTCACCATGTGGCCATCACCAACTTCGTTAGCAGAGTGACACAGATTGTGGCCCAGGGGAATGTGAACAGGCGAGGGGAAGGCTGATGTTGTAAATAACATCCTGCTTAAAAAAAATCAAAGAGATGGGTAAGAAGCCCTGAAATAAAGGAAGAAGGGTGGAAATAGCATTGCATAACAGTCACTGGGTACAATCTGGCTCTGCTGTGTGTATATTCAATAGTTCCACTTCCCCCACTCAGAAGATCAAGGATTTTCTGTAGCTGTTACATATTTGAATGCCAGTTCATACAAAGAATCTTAAATTCTTTCTGAATATGTTAAAGCTACATATAAATAGTGGGGAAAAACAACTGTCATGCCACAAGCTGTGTTTTAATAATTCCACAGCCATGGAGCATAGTTCTATAATGATTTATATATTAGTACTTGCATTTTAATCCACTTGTAGCCATGTGCACCAGAGTGATAACAAATGTGCATAGCTTCCCATTCTGTGAGTCCTGAGGTCATTAAACTCCCTTCAGCAGATAAGTCCTGTAGGCTTAAATGAGATTTTGGTGTGTCATCACTACATTTATCTATTTATTTATTTATTTTTACTAATTCCATAGACAGTGCTGAATTTCAACCCAGGAACTGAAATTCCATGCTGTATGACATTAAGAGCATAGGGAAAGAGATCTGAACACCATACTATCCATAAGAAGTCAGTGCTGATGTACTCTCCAGTGTTTCTTCCCCATTGGGTTGAAACCAAAGGTCATGTTTTGTTAACATTCCCCTTTTTTCAGGCGTCAGGATGTGCTAACAGTCACACCATGGTTGGCCCCCATCGTTTGGGAAGGCACCTTCAGCCCTGAGATCCTGGACAGTGTCTACATGCCATTGAATCTCACCATAGGGGTGACAGCCTTTGCCATTGGAAAGTAAGTGAACCATCTGGGGGGAATCCAGTTCTTGGCTGCTTGTGGAAAGGTACTTTGGGCTCTTCTTGTCCTCAGCAGAGCTGAAGCCTGTTCCGATCTGCAGCAATTTTTTCTATCTATGTAGAATGCCTCCTTAGAATGGTTTGGGTCAGAAGGACTTCAGGGATCACGAAGCTCCAACCTCCCTGGCACAGGCAGGGCCTCAAACCTCTGCATTTAATACTAGACTAGGCTGCCCAGGGCCCCATCCAACTTAGCCCTGAACCTTGAACCCATTCAACCTGACCTATGTGCTGTGTTCATAATCATACGAGCCTGTAAAATAACCTCGGCGCTCAAAATATCTGCAGAAATTAGAGATGTAGAGAGGTGGTTGGGTTGGCCAAAGTGGGGACGATGGCTTTGTTTGTTGTTCTCTACCCCTCTTCACTGTATATATAACACGTGCATCCCTGCAGCAGTACCTAGTAACACTCCCTTGACTTCATTCACTGAAGTACCCTCTGTGATCCACCATGCAGCCCCATGTTTGTCTGTACAGATACACGAGGTTTGTGGGCCGCTTCCTGGAGTCAGCAGAGATGCACTTCATGAAAGGCTATCGAGTGAACTATTACATCTTCACTGACAACCCCGAGATGATCCCCAGCGTCCAGCTGCAACCTGGCCGAAGATTTCATGTTGTGCACGTCAAGAAATACCCCAGCTGGCAAGAGATCTCCATGCGCAGGATGGAGACTATCAACCTACACATAGCAGAGAGGAGCCATCAGGAGGTGGACTACCTCTTCTGTCTGGATATTGACATGGTGTTCCACAATGCCTGGGGGGCTGAGACCCTCGGTGACATTGTAGCAGCCATACACCCTGGTTATTTCAATGTCCCTCGAAACCAGTTCCCATATGAGAGGAGGAGCTCTTCAGCAGCCTACATCCCTGAGGGAGAAGGAGACTTCTACTATGGAGGAGCTGTGTTTGGAGGGCTGGTCAAGAAGGTCTACGAGTTCACCAAGACTTGCCACATGACCATCCTGGCAGACAAAGCCAATGGGATCATGGCAGCCTGGCAGGAAGAAAGCCATCTCAACAGGCACTTTCTCTCCCATAAACCCTCCAAGGTGCTCTCTCCAGAATATATATGGGATGACAGGAAGCCAAAGCCCCCTGAAATTTACCTCATACGCTTTTCCACAGTAGATAAGAACTACCAGGAGGTAAGAAATTGACCTCCTGATCCTCGCAGAGGGATGTCCTCCAACCTGCTGAATGTTAGCTCCCAGAGAAGGTAGTTTATCTGGAGTTTATCTGCGGGTAGTTTATCTGGAGAATGAGAGCTTCAAAGCATTTCAGAAGCAGCAGCCAAAGTGGAAGTGAGAGTGGAAAGGTTTCTAGGTTCCTAATCATTGTAAATACAAGTGTAGCTCTGAGAGTGGAAGCATAGCAGCAGGTATACAAAGGGTGTGCTGTCAAGTAGAAGGCTGTCCTCACAGCAAGGCTGCAAATGCTGTTGTTTGCATATTTTCCTGAAGCTTTGCAGAAACTTAGGCAGGATCAAAACTTTGGCATCCCTATGGAAAAAGAAAAAGACCTTTCCACTTAAAAATACTTCAATCACCCTGCTTTTAAAAAAAAAATTATTATTATTATTAATTTTCACATACTGTAGTTCAAACACTTGGTAAGGATCAGCTTGCCCTCAGTGCAGGTTATCCCTATTAGTGTGCAGCAGTCACAGAGCTCTTCTCAGCAGTGAGATGCAGGAATTCCTGATGGACCAGCAGTGCCATTTCACACAGCACTTACCTTCCACTTCCAAGCTGTTTTGGGCACCCAAATTCAGACTGAACTGGCACAGTTCAAACCCAGAGAGCGTTGTGGGTTTGTTCCAGTCACAGATGTGTTATTCGCCTCTTTGCCAGCTCACACGTCTCTGGGGCTCATATAATCTTTTCCATGGTGTGAGAGGTCCACGTGCTTACTCTCTGCTTCAGTCCTCTCCAAATTTTCTGAGCATTGTAAAACAAATGGGCCAGAAGCTGTTGGAGCTGACAGCCAGAGTTGGAGCATTTCCTACAGACAGGGTGGCTTCACTCCATAATGAAATGCTCTCTTGGATCTGTATGTTCAGCTGGGAGCTGGAGGTAGGCTGGGGTTAACCTTTTCTTTGCATGAACGTGAAGAGAAGCTGACCCAGGCACACTGCAGCCTTCCAAGCCTGCGAGCTCATGGGGCAAACAGGTGGGGAGGGTGTCCAAACACAGGGGAACAGCTGTGCCTCGCCAGCAGCAGCTGCAAAATGGTTCATCAGCTGTGGTTACAGGGTGGAGGTCTGTGTGTTTACTCCCTGCTACAGCACACTGGCTGTGAGCATCTTCCCGGTGAGCTCCTGAGGAGTGCTGCCAGTGGGCACTGCGGGTCTGTGCCAGCCTCACTTGCCAGGAATATCTTTATCCCAGTATTTCCAGTCAAAACCAGGATTGTTACTGACCATCTTCTTGTTCTAAAACAATTGTGTCCAAAGCTCACACCTGACTCTTAGGGTCTCATTATGTCAGTAACTACATATGGGCATATGGAGCCCTTTGCAAGCCAGAAGGAGCTGTCTGGTTTGATCTCCTGTATGGGGTTAGCCAGATAATTTTATCTCCTGCTGTCAGTATCAATGTCATAATACAGGGCTGAGCTGTGCTACATCTCTTAGAAGAGAATTCCGGCCCAACACAAACATCAAGTGATACAGAAGCCACAAAGCCATAGTCAGCTCCTCCTGTGCCTTAATTGTTCTCCAAGTCAGGCTCTCTTTTTGGCTGTTGGATTTTCTTCTGCCATGCTAGATTATTCAGATTCCTGTGCAGATATTCATATTCACATCACAGTTCTGCTCACCAGGGCTGTGATTGGAAGCAGTGCCCAGAGACACCTATGTCTTTGGGGAGCAGGAGACTGTGGCTGCAGGAGGATGCTGCATTCCCCCTTGTGGCACACTAATTGATGAGAGCCTGGACTTCTGCCATCACTTGCTGCTGATTAATCCCCTTCCCCTAGCACCAGGCTTTGCTTTTCTCCTTTGCATTGTGCAGCCTGAGACCCGTGGGCTGGGGGGAGTTTCACAGAGCTCACTTTCTGCTCTTAATTTTTCACCAATGCTCACAGGGAAACTGAGGCACATAGTAGCAAAGCATGGCGTGGTGCTGCTGTGTATGGGGGCTGCCACAGGGGGACAATGCTGTGTCTCATGTCCTTATGTCAAGGGAATTTAGACTTGGAAACGTGCTTGCTGTACTGCATAGAAAGTGAATCAGCACATACAAATAAATTATCACCCAAATTTACATTGTCTGGGGGTCTGACAATGTAAATTCAAGGTATTTTTGACTCAAGAGCTGCTTGTCCTTAACCAAGCATCACATTATAGCTTGTTGCTTTCCCAAGGGTCCTGTTCTGTCTGTCTCCTTCTGCTTGACTGGAATAAACCCATCATTCATTGTCCATCTAATTTAAGAGCGCACCTGACAGCCTTCTCTCCTTGTTCCTGCTGAGGACAGGCATGGTGCAACCATCCCAAAGGAAAACCTGCTTTGGGGAGCAAGAAACAGAAACTTCCAGCACTGAAAATGATCTCAGGTGGGAGAAGGACAAGAATCATTTGCATAGAGCCACATTAGCACCTTTTTTGCTTTTTGGGTTTTTCTTTATCCTCCCATAGATGCAAAGCAAGGTTCCTCCCCAGAGAGGATTTGTTCTGGTCCTAAAGGGCAGCTGTGGGCACTGGGGGTGCTTTTTGCTCACTCACACTTCCCCTGCTCTGCTTCAGCTCTCCACCCAGTGAGGGATCCCTGGGGAGAACCATGCAGAGAGCAACAGCTGCTCTCCGTGTGACAGTGATAGGCACTGGGGGACAGCAGAAACCAGAGGGCTCTGCAGCAGTGGGTTGCACTTCACTCCCACTAAATCCCCACAGCCGCTAGCAAAACTCATCAGGGCAGTGAGTCCTCAGTGCCTGCCCACCCCCAGCTCCCTCCTTCTCTTTGGTAAGAGCGCTGCTGCACTGACTTGACTTTTCTTGGGCTATATTTAGAATAAACAGAGATCCACCAAATGTCACTGTCTCAAATCGAACTGCTGTACAGCCACGCGGGTAGAAAGGCAGCTTTAACCAGCAGCCACTGCCTGCCTTGCCCCCCGCTCTGAGCCTTCAGCTAATTTACAGCAAGTCAGATGAGCCCAAAAGATTTTTTTTCCTAGTGAGTTTTGCCTGTAGCAAATTACATCGTTACAGGCCTTCTGAAATATGTATTTTCCCCACCGTTCAGCACTGACAGTGTTGCTATAATTAGAAGGACTGCTCTGTAGCAGCATCTAGTGCCAGAGAGAGAGCCCTCGCAGCGCCTTTTCCTTTCACGGCTGTGCTGCTTATCCAGAGCCTCTGGTTCTGCTGGTGTGAAGCCACAAAGCCATGAGATGCAATAGGTTGTGCTGTGCCACCAGCTCCTGCCATGACCCTGGTGAGGTTGCTCCGGGGGGGGGCTGTGTGCAGTGGTTCCCAGCAGCATGGTGGCCAGATCAGTGTCCCCAAGCCAGGAGCATCACTTGGCTCCATCCCACCTCCATGTTCACTTGCCCAGGGAGGGTGGCATATCTCTCACTTCTGACATCACTCAGCGATAGCACATGTCATCAGCCTCATCAATATAAACTATGAGCACTGGAGCCTCACTGTTTCCAGGGCAACCCCGCTCCTCTCAGCCTCCGCTGTCTCACCAGCTGACGCTCCGTGGAGCTGTACATGGAGACTTCCAGCAGCTTTTTCCTAGGGCTCCTCCATGCCCCCATTCTGGGCGCTGGGCTGAGCAGAGCTGGGGGCTGGATACCGTGTGCACAGTGCAGTGCTTTGCTTGCATCGTTGGAGGCGTTGTGCAGGGCACAGCCTGGCAGCGGCGCACGGGGGATCTCTCCCAGCAATGACCCGTTTCTCTGCCCTCAGCTCTTCTATTTATAGCTTTGCACAGCAGCACCGCCCTGCCAAAACCCTGCAAACCGCCGCACGCTCCACGGTGAGGCCTGAGAGGCGCTTTCCTCTGCGGTACCTGCAGCTCAAACATCCCAGGGCTGAACCCGAAGGGCCGTGAGGTGCTCAGGGCACGAGGATGAGGGTGCAATGGGAACGGATGCCTGCAACTGCCGTCGCACCCAGGAAACAAACGTGCAACCGTGGAGCTGCAGCCCGAATGCACGGGCCTGGGGTCAAGTCTACATCCACGGGGGGTTGCTGCACACCCACGGGAGCTGACGCACACTTCGGGAGCGGTTCTGCACCCCGGCGGGCTGATGCGCATCCCACGGGGCTCTCTGTTTGTGCGCCTACTCCCGAGGCAGGTGCAAAACCAGGGGAGCAGATCCGCGCGCAGGCGGACGGGCATCCGCGCGCACAGCCTGGGAGCAGAAGTGCAGCCCCGCGGTTGGCGTCCTCGCGCGGTGCGGGAGTTGCAGGCACGCAGGTACCGCGCACATCCCCGCTCCGCGCCTCTCTCCGGGCGGAGCTGCCGTTCCCCGCCCTCCCTCCCTTCCCAGCCCGCCCGTCCCCGCCCCGCACTCCGCTCCTCTCTCCTGGCTGCGCTGCGCGCTCCGCGCTGCCGGTGCCGGCGGCTCCCGGTGGGGCTGCGGGGCCCCATGGCCGGCACGGAGCGGCCCCGGCCTCCGGGCAGCGCGGAGCGGCGCTGAGCCCCGCGGAGCCCCGCAGCGGGACCGGCGCCTCTCGTAGCGCGGCCCGCGGAGGCTATGAGCGGGGCATGATGATGATCGACAGCCAGGTGAGCTGAGCGCTTTCCTCTTTCGGCTTTGTCACTTTTCCCGGTGCCCGCGGCTCCGCAACGACAGGGATTCCCCCTTCTGCACCCCGGCTGCGGGGCTCGCGGGGACCCACGCTGTGCGTTTGGTTTTCTGCGTGCGGGGGGGACGAACGGAGCCGGCAGGAGTGGGAATGAAGGAATGAGAAGGAGAGCAGCACAGCACTGGTCGGGTACGGAGGTTGCTGCGGTGCTGCGGCCGTTCCTGGCTGCGTGCGGGGCTGCAGCGCTCAGCCAGGTGGCACCAGGAGCTCCCTGTCCCCGCTCCTGTGTTTGCGAGGCTGAACGAATCCAAATCGGGCCTAAAGGGGCAAAATCCCTGTGCTTGCAACTCCCGTGGTGCTTTTGAGGCAGGAGAGCGTGAACCAAAGGCAAAAAATCTGATGGAAGGTTCCTCATCTTCTTTTGGTCCTGATACTGCTCTGATTTTGTACTTTTTATTCCCCACTTCTTATTTAT